GGGGGGGGGGGCTGTAACCCCCTCAGCCCACCCCCTGGCTACGCCACTGCGGATACCTAACACAATTCAAAATAAAAATAAATCGAAACATATTGGATATAATAGTATTTTAACAGCATTATCGTATCAGGTTTAAAGGTAAATATACGTATAAATATTGGAGTATATTATATACAATCATTGCAATTAAGCCCGAAATTCAATCGTATATGATTAAAAAAACCAAATGACGTAATATTGCAGTTATTGCTATAATTTATCGAACTCGGCTTACAGTTATTTGTACAGAGCTCGAGATTATAAATCAAGTYACAACCCCAATAAATGTCCCATGTGGCCAGGTGCTTAATATACAATATACATACTTAACTATTATTATTATTAAACTGGTTATAACGAAGATGAAAATTAAAAACGTTTATACTCCTTGGAACACCTTGGCATTTCAGACTGTCTATACTAAATTGTTTTCAATGTAATATCTTAAATTTTTGTCCCCTGCTATTAACTATTGAGTGATCACTATTAATGTTTTTGTTTAAAGTTATACACAAAAATGAAGTTTCTAACACGTATAATATCGTGTATGCTATACATATGTATTTTATGTAATAAAAGTATGATAATCATTACCGTATAATCAATGTTATTGTATCATACGTATATCAGTGGTATAAATACAATAATATATGTCTTGCGTAGCGTTCACGAACCCGAGAACTAATGATAACTGCGGCAATAGATACGTACTAATAAATACCTAATAATTATGAAATATAATTAGAAAATATATTGTTTTCTATTTTATGTAAAAAAAAAATAAATTTGAATGTTTATCATAATATTAAACATAGGTACAAAAGGAACTTTTTACTATTAGCTATAGATACCAATAAAAAWTTTCTAATAATAATTTTATTAGAAAAAACTAACTCTTATAAAATATTATCATTGCAAAAACGATGTCTAGGTCAAAATAATAAATAAAAAATATTTTTTTGGAATTTAGTGTGTGCACTTTATACGTCTATCACCTTTATATTATATCGTAGATAGAGGCGCGCAGCACCTCGATAATCGTTAGGACGATAGCACCTATATAATAATATAGAATATGTGAGTTTCTACCGACCGAACGAAATAAAATGAACCGCTTCCGGCAGTTCATTTATCGTCAGAAAATTTCGTCTGTCTCTGCCCGGCGGTGGTGCAACGACAACAACAACGATAGGTGTTAAATTGGCACCTATACTATACATTTTATATTTATTATAAATATATATAAAATGTCATAAGATACGAGTCTAACGTAGTAATTCAATGACAAATCTTACGATAGTGTCGTTTACAATATATACATAGATAAGGATACATGCATTGATATACAGAGTGATTCACCAATGTCACTATAATATTTACTTTATATTATTAAACTTAAATTTATTGAACTTCTAAATTTGGGAATTTTTAAGTACCAAATTTTCAGTTATTTAAATTTTTACTACCCATTTAAGGATTATGCTGTGACAACAGAAACTATTTCTTTTCAGATGCAAACCGATATTTTTTACTGTAATCTGTTTAACAGATTTTTTTTTGAAAATTTGTATACATAATTTATGTTGTAGTAGGTATTCAAATCAAAATTCTATTAATTAGCTTCTAATTTATTAAAATGTATTTACTAAGAATAAAAACCTTAAAAATGGTTTTACAAAAATAAAAAATAAATGAACTAATAGCATTGAATCTATAATATTTATTATACTCAACTCAGACAACATTTAAAAATAAGAAAACATTAATGAATAAATATTTATCACTTACATTTCCAAATTATTGTCGTTCTCCAAGTATTGACAACTTATAAATAAAATGAGTGATTCTAGTTAGAAAAACAGAATTGGTATCACTACACTGGCAAGTTAAGCACTGCTTAAATTATGTAAAAATCTAAATATTTAAAATAAATGATCCTTAAGTACCTACCTAAATTTAAAAATGCCAAATATCTGAATTTGAATAAAGGAAAACTAGTAATGAGCATCATATTTAGTGAACCACTAGTATAATAATAACAAAAGACATTCCTGCCCAAAACCGACACRTTACAACGATATCAAATACATATTGAAACTTGAAACATATTTTTAACACGCATATACGTGTAAAGCTGCTCTCTCTCTCTTTCTCTCTTTATGGCTATTTAATATATATGTATTTAAAACGTACGACTTACGGGTACAATGAGTGAATTTATACAGCTCTAAATATTTCGGAGAGGATGCTCATTACAATAACAAATTGTAAACGCCGAGGCTGTCACATCTGCGGTGAGAAAACCAGACGTGACGGCGAATCTCAAAAACAATACAAAAAAATGGGACGATACCCAAACCACAAACATTAAAATGTTAACGTTCTAAACATATTTTTTCACTTCACCATTGGATAATGGCACAATACGATTTTTTCAGTACACCAACGAGAACACCGTCTGGGGTAAAAAAATATTCGACAGGCGTTTTTTGACCATTAATTAAAGAATTTAATTGGACTTTGTGAATTTTATACCTATATGAACCTGGGTGACCAAAATTTATTTTTTAATGGCTTTTAATATGGAATTAAATCACGTCCTAAAAAATTTAAAAACSATATTTAAATTTACGTCACAGATACACCAATTAATGAGTCAATATTGTTGTTTTACAATTTAATATATATAGTATTATTAATATAATAAGCACACTTTTAAACTATGTTTATGTACATATAATAACATGTTTTATCAATCCAATAGACAACTAAGTATACATGTAATACATTAATTATATCATTATTAAAAGCATAATGATTCATCAATTGTATAATACTCAACATAAATCAATGGACACAACTTATTGCTTTACAGTAATAGAACAAAAGTTTACAAATAATAGGCTGATGGTGGTTCAAACAAAATGACACGAGTATAATGGCTTGTCTACGGTATATTTTATTAATGTATTTTTTTATCTGAACAACATTCAGTATTAAAATCTCAAAAATTATTTCAAATTAATTTTTGCGTTATCTATTATAATGTTTTTGAAGTCAAAAGTCACCGTATTTTTCCTAATAACTTAACCTCGCCAGAATTAATATTATCTTACAAAGGGTTCACTTCCAACATACAATATTTATTTAAACGATTTTATAAGAAAGACATATTGGTACCTAATTATGCATGTTATTTTCAAAGTTCAGTTATGTCCTGTTACTACTTTCTCCTATGCAATTCAGAATACATAATGAAACATATGTTAATTTATCTTTCATGTAGTAAAATATGCGTGAATGTAATTCGTTATAAAATAAATCGCGAAAGTTTTGGGTATATTGAAAATTTAAAATACCATAAATGAAGAAACTTGCGGCCTGGATAAAATAAATTTACTAGTCACATTTATTTTTACAAGGAACGAAAATATTAAATAAAAAATAAAAATCTAATTTATAAAGCCAAAAAAACACGAAAAAGTTAAATAAAAAATTGATGCTTCAACAAATATCAAAATATATTAAGAGGACGCTACACTCGCATATGTTGTCTCCGTCTTACAAGTGCGTAACATAGCAAATTGTATGCTCAGTTAATCACGTTTAGCTCCGTTAGTTTAAAATTTAGAGTAAAATGACCTCTTACAAAAATTAAAGGTAACATTATTATCGAGGGCACCTCGTAGGCTTTTTATTATATTTTAATTCTAAAGTGAGTTATGTGTATTTTAAAATTGTAAATTGTTTGTATATCTTAAAATACTCATAACTCACTTTAAAATAAAAATATAAYAAAAAGCCTACGAGGTGCCCTCGATAATAATGTTACCTTTAATTTTTGTAAGAGGTCATTTTACTCTAAATTTTAAACTAACGGAGCTAAACGTGATTTGCTGAGGTATAAAAATTTGCTATGTTACGCACTTGTAAGACGAAGACAACATATGCGAGTGCAGCGTTCTCTCTTAAGAATAAACAATAATGTAGATATTATGTCTATTGGAAATTTTTTTAATAACAACGTATTAAGATTTTCATAATATTAATAAAAATWAAAATTAAAGTTTATGGTAAACAAAACACGCACTTTTCTATAACAGTAGTGTTATTCACAAAAATTAAATACATGTTTGTTAAGCATTTGTACACGATTTTAATAACTAAATTCTTTCAATGAATAATTCAAGAGAGGATATTATTCTTTTTGAAAACATTTTCAAATTATAGAAGTATCTATATACTATATAGATCTATTCTCTCTCTCTATATATATATATATATATATATAGGTAGAACACCAAAAACTCGTAAATGTTTCAGAAAAAAGTATAAATTGTATATACAATTTATTTTCTATACGTTTCTCAATATTGTGGTTGTTGCGGTAGAAAATCATATAGCATTCAAACGAAAAAAAGAATTCGAGGTACCTAGGTAATATTATTATTTTTTATTTCCGAATTAATCGCAAATACCATATTTCCAAACCATTGGGTATCCGTTCGGAAGATAATAAAGAGCAATAAATCACCTCCAAGGTATATAAATCCAAATATTTATTCCATTTTGTTAAAAAAAGATATTTTCTTAGGATAACATCGGACAAGATGAATCATAATATTTCTACATATTTTCATACAAACACTTACCCGTCGGAGATTTCCTTCTTTTAACATTATATCTGGTGACGGGGAACCTCCATACGACGATTGCTGAAACAAATTAATATTAATTTTTAATTCATAATTGTATACATTTTATTTCATTTTTATAACGTATTGATACGTCCATGATACAACTAAAAATGTTTAATCTACCGACTTAGAAATATAATTAAAAATATAATTTTTCAAAATTTATTAAAATTAAAAACTGTGATATTCTATAAAAACTATCCTTTCAAATAATATGTTGTACTAACAATATTATACCAATGAATTCTATTAAATTGTCTATTAATCAACCGTATGTGCATGCACCCATTTGAAAACACTTCATCAGCGTAATTTTTGAGATAAAATATAGTTCAGAGATCCAACACATTTTTCATCTTTAACGCTCGCCCGCGTCATACTCAATACTATGTTTAGCAACCGCAGACATTGGTAGTATTTTCCTATTATTATTTGGCATCAAAAATACATGAATACCATCACACATCGGTCGCTCTTTCTATGGCGGTATTCGTCATCTAATGTGATTTGATGGAATTTCCACATTGTTTGGCGCAAAACGAGTTTCGCATCAATTCTGAAGCACGAAATTACCAGTGTTTCCCAACCTTCTTTTCCCGAGGGATATCGTTGGTGAAATTCACACATAATATTCAAACAACATTTCCAAGCGTTAACAGGATCATTTGTAAACGTCGGATGAGCATATTTGATATTTATAACACTTTAAAAAAAATACAAATAACAAAATTCTGTGATATAAATATACATTAGCAGACTAAAGACCTTTGATGTCGAAGCTTTAATAAATTTATAAAAAAAAAATATATATATATATAAATTAGCATACTTTTGCCTCAAATGTCATAAATCTAAAATAAAACTATAAACATTTTAAATTATATACACTTTTTTTAACCCAAAGTATTATTTTTATCAGATAATGGTAGTTCTCCAATTTATAAATGTACATATAACTAAAAAATAATGAATAGCACAAAAATAATGAAAAATTACTTTTTGTACTTAAAAATTGACACAAAAGATTTGAAAATAAAATACGTGTTTTTCACATTTTCATAATTTTTTTACCCGCTTTAGCGATACATAAAATTTATAACTATCACTGGTGAATTGAAGAAACTTCACATAAATTCGAAGCTAAATATTGATACCAATCTCTTAAAGTATTTCATCAAAGTACTGATACAGATTATAGGTACCAGTATTAGGTTTTTGATGATATTGGAAGTTAAATCAACAATAATAATATATAAATTGATTAAATAATATTAGGTTCTTTAAGGTAAGAAAAAAATTACAAGTATGTATAAATAAATACAAATGTATAGTATAACCAATTTATGTAAAATCAATCAATAGTAAAATAGAACTTGTGTAAAAATCTCAAAATAACGAATTTATCTAATCAGAGAACGAGCTCTTTGTGAAATAGATGATCAATTTAAAAAGTTAATGGGTTTAACTACGAAGTTCAAATGAATATCAAAACTTTAAAGAGGAAATAAAAATCATGTAGAAAAATTAATCACACATCAAAAACACAGACGTCTATATTAGGCAGAATAACAAAATACTTATAGTGTTTTAAGTTTTTCGTTTTAAAAATATACTAACAGTATAATAAATTCCTATACATTAAAAGAACAATATTTATTTATATTGTACCTAACTCATTTTTCTTCACCAATTCTAACACAAAATATTTTTGTCCATAATAATAGAATAGAATATATCATCGCATTTGAAAAAACATAACATATAAGAATAAGAATTCATTTTTAAAATTTCTTTAAAAATATCCGAAAATAACTATACCTAAATTAATATCTTTAAAATTATTTATTATAATACACTTAATTTCATTGAGTTATAAATTTAAAAAAGACAATAAAAGAAGCAAAACTTATTACAAATTATTGGTTATTTGGACCAATTGTCTCGACCTCAGTGCAAAATAGTGTTATAATTCTAATTTAATAAAATTATCATAAGAATTATCCACAGAATATTTATTGAGACGAACATAAAGTATACAAGTTAGATTACAACTCTTGTCAAGATAGAGTTTGGATTGTTCACAATCATATGTTTCTCACTTCAACTATTCAGTAATTGAACTTTTAAGTTTTTTCTGTCACAAAATTCTCTGTAGTTTTGACATCAACACAAGAAACGTGACACTATATTCTCCCATCTTAAATCCAGAATAGTATTTTAACTTTTAAAAAAGAACTAAAACTATAATTTAAGCTACTATGTTGTTGGTACAAGATACAACTACTTTAAACTACTGATCACTAGGTTGAATTTATATTTATTTCAAATGTGATTTTCCTGAAGATATTTTCAAACTATTTCGAAAAATGAAAAATAATATTCTTATCAATATGATACATTACTAAATACATCTCTAAGGTATTTTCCGGTATATGAGAAATATTTGATATTATTATTATTATGTTTGCATACAATTGCATACAGTATTGTGATTATAGTACATAATTAACTACGCGTAATATCATAAACAGTACAATAAATGACAAGTCTCTATCATCTCTTATAACTTAAAGTTTAATAATACAAGTAGTTTTTTTAAGCGTAAAACAACTTTTTTAATCATTTTTAGTGACAAAATAATTTTAAAATATTTTATGAACTTAAGCTCAAAAACAGTTATGCGCAATCTTATAATAAGCAATTTAAAATACAAAAAAGAAAAAGATTATTTATTAATTCATAACTGACTTCAAAAACATCGGAGATAAAATCGACTGTAATAATAAATCGAAACTGAAAAACATTGACCTGCATTTAATTTAATTTAGAAATGAGACCTAAAGAGTAAAAATTAAACCAATCAATTTGAATAAAGTAATTTTTATCTTTTTAATTCTTAATTTAAAAATGAAAAAATACTAAAACATAGTATTAAATAATTTATAGGTAAATAATATTAATTTTGATAGCAATTGTATGTGTTTGATATACAAATATAAGTATATTATGGCATGTATATTAAGTATTAATTAAGAATATATTTATGTTATTGACACATACAACATACATAACATGTTAAATATAATATTATAATGTATAAAGTATATAGGTATATACATTAATAATACCAATAGAGTACATTGTAAGGATTATTGGAAATTTGAGTACAACTATTAAATAGAATATTATTACTCTATGGCCAACACGACTGCTATAGAGACATTTAATCAGTACGATAATACTTATAGTTAACCTGTAGAAGTGAGTATAATTAAACGTCGCATTATTGTCGAGCAAGATAAATAACATAGTACAATCACATCCCTGTCAGATACTAGTTGTAAGCCTCGCTTGTTGATAATTCTAAAAACACGAGACCCATCATAGAATTCGCCATTTGGATAGTTATATATAAAGTGATCAATGACCAATGGCCGACTCCATTGCATTACCATCATTTAAAAATTAGACAAAAGGGCAAAAGGGATTATCATTCATTCACCCTGACTAACTTCAGAACCGTGGAATAGAGATAAGAAACAGTTCTGATTTACTTTGGTATTATCAATTGACAACTAAGCAATGTAAGTTATGTTTTTGATCATTTATAATTGAAAATAATAGTATTTTTTTTTTAAATATTAATAAACAAACCATTATATTACATTATTATACAAATATTAAAACAGTACAGTTATACAGACTAACTACAATTACAACCTATATATCTTATTAACTGTTCGTAAGTATAAAAATTATAGATTATTCAAGTTTTTCGAATATGTACGATACCAACATAAATAACATAAATATTATATAATTACAAATATAAAAATTTGTTTATAATATATTCAAAACATAAAGAAAAAMTATCGATGAATTTAAATATTTTAAGTATTCATAAATTTATCAATCTTTGAAATAGCTAAAACTTATATCAATTCTAAATATATTTATTTTATCAATAATAAAATAATTATTCAGACTCAACGTGAAAGTGACTGTAGGAAATGACTATACGTCACTTTACCATATCTGCACACGGTATATAGCATGATCAATCTCAGTATAGATCTAATACATCATGGTGTTTTATATACACGTGTTTTGTATATGTATATATTTATTGGACGCATAAGTACTATGCGTACAAAATAATTTATATAGTATAAACCTGTATTACTTCTTACATGGAMAATCCCAACAAAAAAAAACCCAATTACTTCAAAATACTTTTATCACGACCTATATAATATGTTATACAGTTGAGCGTATAAACTTTTAATTGCCTACACCCAACTAAGAAAAGTCRCCAAACAGTTTCCATACGAGTGCAATTTCTTTAAACCTCTAAAGCCAATTTAGGAACTTGAGTCACCAAAACGTATATTATTAGAAACGTAAAATGATTTCCATCTTATTCGTGCAATCCAATTCTATATATTCTATAACAAAAGGTAACGCTATCCTGACTGTACACCACGATTTATGATAATATGATTGCCCAATGAGCCATTAGAAAAATGTTATAACACGCGACATACAATTCGAATCCAAGAGTTACGTGATCTGGTGAATTTTTTAGCTGCAGCGCAACTGGGGGTAAATTGCAATTTTAATTAATTAAATATTAATTAATAATTAATATTTATTTTATTTTTCACTAATAATATTTGATGATTAATGTACTGACATTAATAAAATTAATAAGTGATACGTAAAAAAAATAGTCTACTACTACTAGAAGCAATAGTACCACTACCGGCATCTAGATTGAATAGATTGATATCCTAAGTTGTCTTGTAATAGCTCGTTAAATCATGGTATAGGTACACTATACAGTGTATAGTATACACGCTCAGTCTACATATGCAGCTGCACGCCATTCCGAATCAATTAAAAAACTATATATTATATAGAGATAGTGATATTATATAGTATATATAATATCAAACCACAAAAATAAAATAATTATTTGATCTCTGCAAAAACAGTAATTATATATGGGTATATAGAAT